ACTACCTACTACCTACTACCTACTACCTACTACCTACTACCTACTACTTATACTTACTACCTACTACCTACTACGTACTACGTACTACGTACTACGTACTACGTACTACGTACTACATACTACGTACTACGTACTACGTACTCTACTAGTACGTACTACCGACCACCTACTACGAACTACGACGAGGCTTTTGAGAACTTTTCCAGATACCACCAGGACCATCCAAGGAGTCACCAACGGACTGCCCTACCTCACTTATAAGATTTCCATTTGACGGCCTGGATGGTCTAGGTATTTGCTAGGGGATGAGTAAATGTAGTTGAAGTTACAGGAAGACACTAACAACCATTCACACGACAAGCACACAAAAACATACATTAAACTTAAACAAACAACATCAAATGTGAACAGAAGACTGAACACGGAGCAACAACCAGAAAGGTCTATTCAACGACCCACCCTCCGGTGCGTTGCGGGGTCCTCTCCCCTCTCCAAGGACGAGATCGTGCAGCTGCAGCGGCTCCCGGTGCTCGAAAAGCATGGCCTTCGGAGCGTCACGGCATCTGGGTCTCTGAGTCGACCGGGAGCTACGCGTGCAGCTGAAGGGTCACTAGAGTCACTAGCTGAAAGGACTGAATTGCCCGGTGTTTGAGTCATGAACGTGGTGAAGAATCAGACACCTTGTAGAAGCAGCTGAATGGCCACAGCAGTTGAGACTTTCAAGGTCGTTTGCCACTGGTGACTTCTCCTCACCAGCGGTAGCTGAGTCTAAGGACATGTACAAAGCCTTTGAGGGACCTCTCAATGAAGACCCGCGACTCATCGCCAAGCAGGCTGAGATCTATACCACGCTGCCTGGGCACAGCTTCAGTGGGTTTTCGTTGGTGATTTTCAATGCTTCACTGGGTCATATTGACTGATGGTCAGGGCGAGGGGACAAAGGACGTTCCTCCTCTACCAGAACCCCAGAACCCAAAGGCTGGCTGAGTAAGGGCAAGAAATGGACTTGTAGACACCCACAAAGAGGGTGTTGAGTATTTCTTCGTGGGAAAGGATTTTTTAAAACCGGAAGCACCAATCATGAGGAAGATGCTTGTTCCGAGTTCCCCTGGCTTTGTTCCAAGTCTATCAGAATCCAAACTAGGACCAAACACAGTGGCTAAGTTGGATGGGATCCCTTCAGCTAGGCTACCGTCGCACACTGGCCCACGTTTCCTCGGATTTTCCGGGCTGGCAACAACCCGTGTCAGCCTTGCAGACCATGACAGTGTGGTCCCAAGACGGATGGGTTTCTGTTGGAGGCTGCAGAGAACCTTGGTATTTGCATGTATTTGCGGCTATTCAGGGGTTCCAAGTGGTGCGGGATTTCTATGGCATCATTTAGGCATTTAGGTGACCATCGACCGGACTTTTGGGTGGGATGCGATGCCGAAGCAACCTCGCATGCTGTCTTGAACACAGGTTGGAGATGGTTGGAGGGAGATGTCTTGACACATAAGAATCCACCGTGCCCACCGCCTGAGGCTTGGGCAAGACCTGACATGGCTTCCTGCCAAGGACGCCAGTCGCGCGAGGAAACCGAAGTCCAAGCTGGCCATCTAGAACAGTTATTCAAAGTTGGTGCTGCAGCAGACATTCTTCATCAAACGCATCTCCCTCAAGCAGGGCGACCCACAACAACCAATGTACGTATAATAGTATTAATATATATATATATAGAGATCACGAATCAAATTGAGAAGGCTGGTCTTGCGCCGAAGTTTACCCCTGTTTGCCCCGCCACAGAGGAGTTCAAGGAGTTGGGCACATGTTTTAGATCCTTTGCCAGGAAACCTAGCTGGGTGGCTGCTGGCTGCGGGGGCGGCTGCTTCGCGCTGCGGAAGCACAGCGGAAAGCAAAATAGGTTCCACACTGTCAGGGTGCCATGCAATATGCGGCTGTCCGGAAAGGTTCAGCTAAGTCTTTTTCGCATGTGAACCATAGCGATCTCGGGATCTCGATAGACGTCCCTGCGTCCACAGGGACGACCGGATGACAGGCGCGATCGCGACGGGACGACGATGTGCGGAAGCCGCCACCGGTGGTCTGGACGTTTCCATGCGGTTCCTTTGTATCCGCAGACATCAGTTTTGGCCGGGCCAATACAGCAGATCATGGAGTTTCTCAGTAAAAGGAGTTGTTTCGATTCTTTTGATGCATCATGGTTTGCTTGGACTCTCCTTCCATTGGCCAGACAGAAGAGCTGAGTGGTGGTTTCCACAGCTGTAGGCTGGAGAGGAACAAAAACATCTGCAGTCGCACAGAGGTGACCCCCAGGCTGGTCGACCGGGTCGTTGGCCTTTAACCATTGCTTTTGCTTTACTAGACATGTCCTTCAATCTGACCCGCTGAGTAGAGTTGGGGAGACCCCAAGGTATTTCACGATGTTCAGTCTCATGTTCCAAAGAAGATCTATGAGGATCTATGTCTTTTGGTGCTCAAAAAGACCTGCCATAAACAACAGACGATCACACGAAAACCGGGATCGTTTGTGAGTTGGCAAGTCGTCTTTTCACGCATCCCAAGTGGCCAGGGCGGTGTTTCCAGCGGCCTGTACAAGCTCGCAATTGGTCGGATCGCTTGAGATCTCCAGGTCGTCGCCCTGGCAACCGCAAGGTGAAGGCCTTCATGAAGGCGTCGGACGTTATTTTGTGCCGCGGGCGTTGGAAGACGACCTCCAGACTCCAGAAATGACCATTGCTGAACCCGTGATATACTGTATTGGAGGGTTCGGGCACTTGCAGAAAGTGAAACCACTTCCAATCCAATTTAATCCATCTACAGTATGTAGAAAGGTGTGAAGGATAACACAGATATATGAATGAATGTATGTAGGCACATATCCTTTGCCCGCGTTTAATTTTTCACCAAATACACCTTTGGCTGAGGCTCTGGAAGTTCCTAACCTGAACATTGGGTCAGCACCAGTTACCAGTTGCACTTGTAGGGCAGCCAAAGAGAAGGAAAAGAGCTTTATCCAATCACTCAACATCCTTGCACCCTTTGTCCTTGGCTGCAATTGGTGTATTTGAGTTCGATTATGCGTCCTCTCCTCTCCTTTTCTTCTGCATCATCACACTCTTAGCGCTTTGCGACGAGGTGTGTGGTTGAAGCTGGAACTTTGGGCGAGAGGAGGCCAGGCGAATGATGAGGGATGGGCCCTTGCTCACATCAGTTCCATGATTTTGTGGGCATGGACAGCAACAAGCAGTTCCATTTTCGCGGAAGTGTGAAGATTTCTTCTGCCATAGCACAACATATTTGTGCTAACACCTACCCAGTCAGCTATTTTTTGGGGGGATTGGTGAACCCCCACTCAAATCCAACAGGTGGACATATTCCATTGTTACATAACATCAAGACTACCGTCATATAGTATTAAGATGTATTAAGGCTACTATTGTTATTCAATGGGTTACTCTTATATAGTCAGTGGTTATCTAATATAGAGATCCTCCACCACAGGGGTGAGAACACGTCTGGGTCACACACGGTGGAGAACGAAGCCTTCGCTCCCCTGAAAGACCCGTCACCGGTGGATGTGTGCTTTTTTGTAACCGGTGAAAGCCTCCAGACGGACCACCAGGGACCGGACCGTGGCTTTGTCTTCAGAATCTTCAAGAGTAAGAGCTGGAAATCACCCTGTTGATGTGGTTTAAAGTGACCTTCCATCCGGGGCTGCTGTCTTGTGGGTGCGGAACACCCTATCTTCCAGTGTGAGGCCCTTTGGCTTCTGGCAAGGCGCGGTAGACACTTCACCAGGGTAGACTGGGGCGGTGCTTTTTGTTGGGAAGTGGGTGCAGTTTTTGTGAAAGGATTTCGGTTGCAGCATGACTCTGCAGGTCAGAGACTAACGAGAAGGGGTTTGTTGTGGGAGATCAGAATCTGAGCAATTGCTTGGCAGGGACCCTCAACGTGCCGAAGAACATGAAACACCACCCTTGGCATTGGAAGCGAAGCATGCTAACAAGGGAAGCATCGTGAAGCATTTGGAATGCATCTCCTGAAAGTGGTTACATCTCAGCCAAAGGTGTTGTGACAGGTGTCCGTCGGTCAAAATGACAATTGTAACTCCGTTCACTGTTCAGAGGATCTCCTCGCTTTTTTTCAGGACGACGGAGCCAAACACAAAGATAGCTTGGGCTGTTCGTGTGCTGAAGCATTCTGAAAACAAACTACCACTAGAAGTTGTGTTTGAGGATTTCTTTGGATTTGCCGACAAAATGCTTTAGGTGCCCAAAGACATGGGTTTGGAGGTTTTGGATGACCGATGACCCCCTTTTCGTGAGCCGGCCAAATCTTATGGAATCGAATCCAACAACTCTTGTGTTGCCAGGCGGCTCCCAAGACTCGTGCAGCGGTGGCTGCTTGCATGAGTGCAGGAACCCAGCACTTTTCGCCAGTGCGGGTGACATATTTCACGTGACGTCAAAAGAATCAACGATCCAGGGAATATGGGGCACCATTTGGGACTCCGACCGGGAGGTCACTTGCCGCGGTACCTGGCAGCGTTTTTTGGGCTGAAGGGATGACGGTGCCAAGTGGAGAAACGGGATTATATATATATATATATATGTATTACTTTTTGATGGACACTTCGGAGTTTCATGTTTCATTGGACTCGCCGGCACAGCGCCGAGGCACTGGTGAGGCCATGGCGGTGCCGCCGGGCCGTGCCGCGCTCTCCTACATGATGTCCGGTGGCCCCGGTGTGACCGTGGAGCCTGACACAGTCACTGGGTCCAGTGGGATCCAGTCAGTGAAGACACGCATTCAAAGGTGAAGACATACGTTTTTAGTGAACTGGATTTTCTCTTGGGATCCTTTTGGAGTCGATGGATTTTCCAAGCTGGAGTGGCTGGAATCTGGATTTGGTGAATCAGCTGGGACCCTTGAAGGATCGTTTTTCGTGGAATTTGTTGGATTTGCAGCGCACAGTCTCCACCATTTGCTTGGGAGGCTGGTTACCACACTCTCCCATTGAGCCCATCATCCCGGAGATGGAAAAAAACAGACAGGGCACTTGAGATTGAGGGAACATGACCATGTGTTCCCATGAAGTTTACAGAAAGACCGAGCAGTCGATGCCTGGCTTCGCCCGCATCGCTGGCCGCCACGATTCATGGATCTTGGGTTCTCATCTTTCCCCAGTCAGTCTGTGCATATGCAAAGCGGCCGTGCTGTTTGGTTGAAACAAGACCCCCTGGCTGTACACCTCGTCGCTATTTGTTTGAAGTGGCCGATCAGATGGCTTTTCCCAAAAGAACATGCATGGAGAACATCTATCTAGCATTGGGCCCCTCAAACAAGCACACTGTGTTGGACCACTTGAGTCACTTGATACGTTCCAGTTGTCTTTGTTTCTTTTTCTAATTCTCGAGCTAGCTTCTTTATAGGCTAGGTTGCTCCCCAAATGACACAGCATATGACACAGCATAAGGCAGAAGTTATAATCTAGTGGCCGGGTCGGGGCCAGGCACCGTCAGATGCGGATCGCGGGCCACGGTCAATCCTTCGCATCATGCCCTGGCCATGGAAAGCTGCGACATCGCACAGCCTCTGAGCGAAGATGGACAGGCGCTGTGGTTTAAGTGTCATGTAATCTGCATTCAGACACTCACTACAGGGTTGATAACAAGTCCCAACTGAACACCCAGTGCGAAACCCAGGATGAGAAAGATGCAAGGCCTCCTTTTACGTGAACCTGATTGCGGCCTGTCATGAACCATGATGTGTCTTGTGGTTGACTGCTACCCTGCAGAACCCTGCATGCAGAATTGATGGCATAGCCCTTGCTTCAGTTGGTTTAAGTGAAAGATGTAGCATGATATTAGATTATTAGAGCCACCGCAAGTCGCCTCCGCTGCAGGTAGTCAGCATATGTCTACATGACTCGCATGAACTCGCATGAACCCTTCTTTCAAACAAAAAACTACTATGAAACAAGCAGAGATCAAGAGAGTCTATCAACTCTAAGCTTGGCAAGCCCGATCAGATACAGGGAAGACTGTCTTCTACACGCAGGCGCCGTCGAACCGCCGTGGTCTTCTTTGGCACCTCCGCTTCCGCTGCATGCGCTGCTCGCCTTGGCGCCGGCCACGTGGTGCAATGGTGGATCTCCACGGTTCAAGGATAAGACCTTGGTGTTGGTCTAGGGTGAAGACAGTCTTTAGGGTTAGTGTTTGGGGATTTAGGGGAGATTTGGAAGGTATGTAGCCTCCCGAAGACTTGCACGGAGGCTGATGTGTTTAGAGCTTGAAAGCAACTACTGTTTCGTAAGTCTTGTAGCAGAGAAAAAGTTTTTTTCTAGAGGTCTATGTTCACATTTGAGCTGTTGCGTGGTGCAACCCTGATCCCCTCCTTTGGGCGCCTTCATCGAGGCCCCAAAGTGGAACACTCACCTCCCAATTCGGTGAATGTATGTGTAGGTCAATACCAAACTTTGCAAAACCATGGTGCGGGATTGGTGGGATAGTTGGACCATGTTGGACAACGAGTGCAGGGTTTGTCAACCACCACCGGATGTTTTTCAAGGCTTGTGATCATCATGCTACACGCCAACAGTGTCACAGAGAGACTTGACACAATAAGGTGTCGGAACTAAGGACAGATGGCCGTCAGTCAATCGGATACCCTTTTGAACACTTGTTTGTTATTCCTTTGCTGGTGATCACGAAAGATAGCACCAGCTAGCTGGAGTTGTTCTTGCTTTAGCAAGTGAGGGGCTGGAATCCTCAAGAGTGCCGCATCGCATGAAAACTTCATATGTAGGTGGCCCCCCCCCCCCGATTCAACTCCTCCCTGGGACGTCTCTGGGACGTGTGTATTTCCGCTCGCATGGGGCCGACTGTCACCCCCTTCTCCCCCGCCCTGCTGGCTTTTGTCACCAACCCTCGGCCTCAAGTGTGTCATGAGAATCCTCAGTGAGTGGCTTCCAGAAGGCTACTCTCCCTCAGCTTGCCCAGAGGAACCTTTTCGATTCGTTTCTCGCGGATCAGAGGTCTACGAATGGGTCTCCTGTGAGTCTCACAACAGTCTTGTCAAAGACCGTTCTGCTTGGTCCATGGGTGATTCAAACATGAGGTCTTTCTGCTTGCTATCTTTTGCCGTATGCTTTGTGTAGCAGCTTCTTCTTATTCTGGCACGGCAAAGACCAAACCCTTACCCTCCTGCACTGGCGGGCAAGGGGTAAAGCACATGGTAGGTTGACTGACTTCTTTTGAGGGCATCATTTGATTCTTTTGACTCATAGATTAGCCAAAATCATGATAGGTACTACGTATAGTATTTGGATTTTGCAAAGCATACTATTGTAAGCCACAGTTAGTGGTTTCTAACTCACAGACTGAACCTCCATGAACATTCCAGGTTCGAATTTGGTGCTTAGCAAGTTTGGTCCGCAGGGTTTGGCCGGGTCTGAAACCATTGAGACACATTGTAGCATGGAGCGCGCCGCGCTTCTGCCCCGGTGATTGCAGCGTTGCTGTTGCAGCGCCCCCATAAAAGGACAGACGCGAGGTCTCTAAACAACTTCAGAGAACTGAAACAACATGTCTGACGTTCACACATATAAATATCCTTTTTGTTGGTGAAAGCCCAAACAATTCCTTTTTTGGTGAAAGCCAGAGCGTTTGATGTTCATTGTTTTTACGACTTGTCGGTAGCACCGACTCGGGGGCCTCCCGACTCGTTTGCGCATGTGGAGGTACATCCCGGTGCTTTGCCTGTCCCTTTGCTTCCTGTTCGTCATGTCCCTGTGGCCTCTCGGCTGCGCGAGTTATTTGTTCCCAACCTCAAGGGCCTCATGCGGTACAGGAAAGATGTTGTAGCAGCCATGGGTAGGGTAAAGGTGACCCATAGATGTTTTAACTCACAGGAAAACCACCACCGTCTGGCGCTTGAATCCACCCATTCCGAGCCATTCCGCGATTCCCGAACATGAAGGACCACAGAAATTTCCATCAGTTCGTGTGCCCTGTGCAAACCTCCTGATCTTGTATGATCTTGCAATGGGTTTGCTATCCTTATAATGGGTTTGTTCATCAAAAAAAACAAATCCACGAGAGTTCAGGAGGGCTTACCGGGACGCGTAGGGAAGAGGGAAGAGAGAGACCCCAGTCCATCACTGACTTGTCCACAAAGTGTTCAGGCCTTGTGACCTGGAAAGGTGGAAGACTTCAGGTGCTCTAGACATCATAAGATAAAACACAAAAACGCAATCGCATTATTTTTTGAAACCTGCCCATGCCCTCCACCCCATGCCAAGGCCCCTCCCTGGTTTCAACTCATAATTTTGTGGTACACCCAAGTCTCGGGCTTAGAATACTAGACCAGTTGGACAAGTAGATGGTTTTGACCAACCTGGTGTGGTTTCCTGGCTACTGTACGCGACAGCTTTAGTAGAAATTGGAACAGCAAACATGAGAGTATCAAGATTAAATGAATAAGCCCAACTGGCATGGATTCATTAAATTTGCAGGAAATCCCCTGCCTGCCAGTGTTTTGTTTCTTTTTCCCTTTGACCGGTGCTTATTCTCCTTGCCCGTGGCCCTAGAGGCTCTCTTCTTCTGGTCCGGTACCTGTGGTGCCCGTGGCACCAACCAACGCCACGAACACGAGCACCACGACCACGAGCACCACGACGGCGGGATGCCAAGGTACCATGGGTGAAGTAAAGGAAGCTGAAGAAACTGACAAGGTTGTGTGTGTATATCATGGTTCTAGGGACAAGGCAAACACCCTGAATAAGAAACCAAGACCTCCACTGCTCCGGGCACTGCAGGGTGGAGCAGCCAGAGGTTCCGACTCCATGAGCTACATGTTGGCCTCCTGATTCCGGCATGACGGCAGGCATAGAGCTGATATCAGGACTGTGGCCCTGCTACAACCATGTGATATGGCCTTTAAAAACGCGAGAAGTTTGATTCAAAAGTTCTACGGGCATGCTCCAAACAGGGTCTTCCGGAACCTCTTGAGTGGCCACCTCTCTGTCCCTGTGGCTTTTATGCAAGTCGTTTCAGGCAGCCGGTGCCACCGCCAAAAGCAAGCACTTGCATTCCACGTTAAAGTCTGTGATGCACAGCTGTGAAGCCGACTATGGAACAGGTACAATCGCTATGGTCCAAAAATGATATGTGTGTCTTCTAGGCCCTAGGCCAATCTGTCGAAGTAGCCTCCTATTGGCAAGAAGTCTTTTTTGGAGGCGCCACCGCAGTCTCTTGCACTCTATGGGATCGATGCATTGCGTCCGCTAAAGGTGTGTTATTGGTGGCCTCACTTTCGGGCATGTCACCGCCTGTAAGGGACCACAATGTGCAGGCCTGATATTTGTCGGGTCCAATGAACTTTGACCTTCTTGTGAACGCCTGTGGCGCTGCACGTTGAGACACGAGCTGCCCAAACCAACTGTGTGATAGCGCGTGGCCCGTTCGCCCTGTCAAGAAGCCGCTGATGATTCCGATGCTCCCTCAAGTTCCCCCTCTCCCCCTTAGGGGGTCAGATGTTGCTTTTACTAGCTCGCTTACAAGTCTCAAATGCCGGAAATCCATCCATGCGTGCGAAGTCGTTCCAATCATGTGTTCAATTGTGGCCATCCGTAGACACCCATCCAAACCGAAGTCCGATAGGTTCATGCTGACCATGTCATGGTCTATTTTCGGGTGCTTCATATCGCTTGCCCAGGACATGTCTGTTCC